CTTTCCACATATATTCTCTAACATTTCAAGATACAAATATTTTTTTTCTTTACGTTTCACCGACTTTGGATGAAATAATAAATGTTATTTTTTTTCCTTCGATCTAGAATAAAAACTCGAACGACATTTCGTTCATGATAGTAATAATAATTATTTAAACTTGAAAACGAATTTTGTTCCAAGTCGATACCGTAGTTAGTTCTAGAGAAAACGAGTATTTAAGAAAAAGTACTGGCTAGTAATTATGCAACCATTCTGTATTTAAATTTAAATTAATTTTCAATTAGATACATAATTTATGATCTAGTTTTATCGTACACTAGTCGTACGATTAGTAGGAATTGCTGAAACTACTTTAGATATGTAGCGTCAAAGTAAATTTCAAAATAAACATAGAAGATAGCAAAAATTATAGTAGGTGATATGATCATTAGATAGAGGATGAAATGCCCTTTAAAACGAGCGTTTGAACGAGTCGATAGCTCAATTAGTTCCGGAGATATAGCAATTTTAGTTTCAAGTCGATGCGGTGGCTAGTTTCGGAGATATGAGGGACCGAAGCGTTTGTTTACTTCTTTACTACGGCCTTGTCAAGGTCGTTGACCGGCACGTGCTCGGAGAAACTAGGTCACTCGGCCACTCGGTCGCGAGTCACGTGCGAGACAGAGAGGTCCGGCGCGACGCGTCAGACGGAGACAGCGATAGTCGAATTAAGAAAAATTACCTTTTACATAAATTGCGATATCTCCGAAACGGGAAGTCGGATCGACAAAAACCAAAAGCCATTTTAAAGGGGAAGGTTTACCGCTGCTAACGATGACTCAATAATTAATAAGACACTAATAGTTTCGGAACTGCACGCATCTAAACTTTTAGTATTTTTAATACGCGTGAATAGGCTATTGTACGTAAGCCAGACAGTGAGATAGTCGAATTAAGAAAAATTACCTTTTACATAAATTACGATATCTCCGCAACGGGAAGTCGGATCGTCAAAAACCGAAAGCCATTTTAAAGGGGAAGGTTCACCGCTTCCAACGATGGCCCATTTATGCAAAAAACATAAGTAGTTTCGGAACTACACGCTTCTAAAGTTTAATTAATACGTGTTGTAAGAGTGTCTTAAGCAGTGGAAGCTGAAGATTCTCTCTAATCAGAATATGATACCAAATTTTGTCCAGGTTTGTACAAAAAAATATAAATCATTCGTGGTAGGCAAGACAGACTACATATTTTTCTCATAAAACAAACAATAAGAATAGATGTGAATATTGTAAAATTCATTGTACTTATACTATAAGAAAAGTCGTGAAGTTAAATGGCGCTAAACTGATATTGTGTGTTAGAAATCCTAAACGAAATTTTAAAAACAATGCTAGACTGCACGTAAGAAATAACATTTATTATTTCATCCAAAGTCGAAAAAAAAATACTTTTATCTTGAAATGTTAATGAATATATGTGGAAAGCGGTGAAAAGTTTCATCGAACCCTTATGCTGTAAAAAATGGTCAAATATCACTTAAAATAATTCCCACTGGTGCGAATTATTACGATACGATCCTAACCTCGCTTCTCCAGCGTCGGATGATAATACGCGATAGGATGGTAAGTCAATACAGCACAGCATAAAGGTTTACGATCCTTTTCTATACAGCTTAAATAGGCCATTCAGGGTCCAAGACGACTAAACTACCTTCTTTTTACTCGGTCATTGCAGACGTATAGAGAGACGCGGTCGATATATGTATAGAATGCCTATTTCCCGTTTCCTTCGAGCGAGGAAACCTCCTGCCTCTTGGAAGAGGTCTCACGTATTAAAGGAGGACGGTGATTTTCCGCGCGTCGATCTCTGACCCGGTAAAGTCACACCCTTCGTTTGAAATCGGGAAAATTCTACGATTCGAGTGGCTGACAGATTTAATAAACATGAAGTTCTTTTATTGACGACGACGGTAAACGAGAAGATTGCGCCTCGCTTCAGACTTCCATCCGCGTCTGGTCTTGGTAAATGAAAAAATAATCCTCTGATTTCTCCAGAGAAACTTTCGCGCGAACGAACCCATTAATTTCGCAAAATATATCTTATTGAAAATGACAGTGATGTTTCAAGATGTAAATTTCTATCGGAAGAAGGAAATGCGATTTTTAAATTTCGATAGCCACGATTCACGAAGAAATTCTAACGACGTCATTGCGTGGTTCTATTTGAAACTACGTTTTATAACGTTAATTGGCGGTATCAGCTGGTCTGGACGACTCTGTGCGAATTAAATCGAACAGAAATTCTAAATACGGATTCGACTGGACGTTCTCGATGTTCTTTCCGGATTCGATGCACGCGCGTACGTTTGTAGGTCGTATAATAGTTCGCTAATGGCGATAATAAAATAAATTAATTAACCGCTATTATGGAGGCCGTTGATGCAAATCGCAACGATACCGATATTCGTGATTGTTATTGTAATCGAATCGTAGTGCTTGATCGTGCCATTTTGTTTTCGCATTCGTGGAAGTTCCACGACGCCGCCGGAAACTGCAAAGTTGGAAGTGCTACCGATGTTGGACCGGTAATTAGCTTTCTAAAGTATTGACCGCAACGTCCAAGTTTGACGGCCGATCGAATTTGCATGACAAAAGGCTCGTAAGCAGCGTTAAATTCGAACGTATCTATCGGGTCCATCCATAAGTTTGTTCGTATTTTAATCGTGATTCGCCATTACCCTTCGCGAGTGACACGATTTTTCACCGAGGTGCTAAAAAAATTAATTCTCAAGATCAGATATCAAAGAAAATAAATCTAAATGGGATTCTTGAATTTTAACGACGCTTCGAAAATAAGTTCTATGACAAATTCTGAGTTTCAATTGTCTAGAAATAAAATATGGTTTTTGCGGGTAATTTGAGGAATTTGGTCTGGCAATCAACGCGTCAAATCACTCAATTTTTCACTGACTTTTATCGATATCAAATTTAGAAAGATATTGTTAATAAACGAATATCGATACGCGGTACAAAAGAGATAAAAAATTAATAAAAGAACCAAATTAATCAAACTAAACGCAACGAAAGTTTGTTGCGTAAAAAATTCCGGAAATTCTATCTTTCTCATGAGACGACGTATTTCGTAAAGTTTGAAAACCACTGGTGTAGGCTCGTAGAGCGGACAGAAATATGGGACACGTATTTCTTTTAGTGGCTGTAACTTGGATTTATGGAACGAAACTATCCTACGAAGTTTTCTAACCCTCTGGCGCTATCCCGGAGATTATCAAAGACGCAAACAAGTTTTCCAAACAAATTCTTCGCGATACTTTACGAAAAATAACAGAGTGAAAATCATCGTCGGTGTTCATGGCGCGAAATGAACGTGATTAGTCGATAACCGATTACAAGTAAGACTAAAATTAACAATCCTTTCGTGCTGTCTTTCTCGATGGCTCGATCGCGTTAAGGACACTTATCGCTGTAGGAGATCTTATTTCCCTTTGAGACGTCTAGTGATCCGTATCGTGCTTATCAAACAAATTATTCTCGCAACACGAAAGGGGAACGCGATTCACGGGCACTCGTTGCCTTTCTAATCTCAAATTTCACCGTAATAAGGCCGTTTCGCGAGACTTTGATGCACCGTGCGTCCGCGAGAAGTTGCTTAGCGAAAGGAATGCGGCTCTGATTGGTTCCCCGCTCTGGTCACGTGCTATAGGCGGAGCAAGTAATCCCCCGCCCCCTCTGTCGTCCCGCTAGCCAACTTCTCGCGAACGCACAGTAACCAACACGTTACCTAATACGTCCCAGCGGCATTAGATTCCCCAAAATGTCACCGACTAATAAAATTTCCCATTTTATCGCGCCGTCGCCGTTGTCGCTCGACGATCGTATTTTTTTTCGAGCTCATTACAAACGCGTTTGCGATCGGGAAACTTCATGAAATTGTAATCGAGCCATTAGCCCGAAGCCCCGATAACGTCGACGACTTATTCCACCGTCGGAGTCGGATATCTTCGAAGGTGGGCGGTCGCTTACGAAAATCCTGCGCGATCTCGTTCGTGTCCGCGCATACGTGGAACCGTCACGTGGCCATCCTCGTCATTCCCGATAATATATTACTCGCTGCGGAAACACGTCAGGTTTAAATTAATCTCCCATTGTACACGCGTACGGTACGCAGTGCATGGCCCGACGAACTACACAGCAACAACGACACCGTTACATCAGTTTGAGGCCACGCGTGCTGCATTCGCCATCATGTAATATAGTAACACCGTAGAACGATTAATTGATCCCACGGCGACATCAATAGCGCGGCGAACTTTAACTTCTATTTCGCTTCCATCGCGAACGGAAAACGTCCTTAATTATTCTTCTTCAACGTCTCTTCCAATTTACGTTCGGTACGTGTCTCTCAAAATGCCGCGTAATCACCAAGAAACAATCCCACGTTGTATTCCATTAATTAATGAACACCGCGAGTCTACTGTCTACCGTTCCATCAACAGTGATCTCTACGCCTGAGTCTACTTAGCGTCTACCACGGAACTTGGTTCACGATACTCCTTACACAGGGCTCTGTTACCTAAAACTGGAAGTTGAAACATTTTCGAAACCGCTTCGAATGAAACTTGAACGATTTCGAGGCGGTTGTTGGCCGATGTAATTAGTATTTTTCCACGTAGACGCGTACATGACGTTCGAAGGTCCAGTTTGTTTTTTTAAACAGAATATTTTTCTATACAAAAGTATGAAGTTAATTGTGTCGAAAAACTTTTACGTTAGGAGATATTTTTATTTAAATATCACATCGAAACGCGATTGTAGTTTTCTACCCCAAAATTTTACTCCCGATATCTTTTTTCATTAAAGTTCCGCTCCTCCAGGGGGAGACTGGGAATCGAAACAAATAAAAGTTTTCCGACCAGTTTCCAACAACCTATCGAATTTTTCTTGGGTGTCCTGTGCGGCGTGAGGATAAAAAGTAAATCTGGAACAAAGAACACTCACCGACAACGGTGACGAGTATCAGAAGACCGAGCACCAAAGCCCTGAGAATGATCGAAGCATCGGTGAACACCAGACCATCTGCAGACGAGTTTCCAGCCTGGTTGACGTGTTCCTCCATGACGTCCGAGATATATACATATATATATTACATGTATATATGTATATGTATATATGTATATATATTCTCTGTCCTGGCAGGGTCTTCAATGTCCGCTGGTTATCATCTCGTTAAATAATGTACCATGGTCCGCCGTCATGTGCAGATCGCGGATATGAATCTTCTATTCCCGGCTACTTTGGCTGGCCCGTCTCCTCGAGACGCAGTTAATGTCCGCCCGTTGAAACTTTAATACGCGCGTCATTGGGCGATTTTCTTGCTTCTTTCCCTCGGGAAACTTCCGCCGGGCATCTATTTCGCGCAGATAACGCGAACGCCTCGCCCTCCGACAGCCGACCGTCCCTTTGAACTCGTACGCTGCTCGGCCGTGTCTGCAACAACGATAAAGAAAATCAGTCTCGGTCGCTGCTTCGATTTTCTCGCTACGTCCCACTCTCGACGTGCGAGCTATTTTTTATTTCACACGAACGCCTTCGATCCTCGATTCGGGGCCTCCGCCATGCACAAAAACTAACGTCTATGTACGGAGGAAATTCTATTAACTCCAGAGATTTATGTTTCTTAATTACGTATATAAAAAATATGAAACTTGGAAATCAGAATTTATTTCGAGACGTGGGTGGTGTCACTTATCCTCTGTTAGAACACACTGCTCAATTCAAGAGGAGCTATACATTTTCATATATTTAAAAAGGATGTTTCGTAGTGTTCTTAATTATGTATATGACAAATATAAGGCTTATAAAGCAGAATTTAGTTGAACACGTGGGTGGTGTCACTTATCCTCTGTTAGAACATACTGCTCAATTCAAGAGGAGCTATACATATTCATATATTTAAAAAGAATGTTTCGTAGTGTTCTTAATCATGTATATGACAAATACAAAACTCATAAAGCAGAATTTATTTGAACACGTGGGTGATGTCACACACTGCTCAACCCAATATGAGCTATATATGTATGTATATATTTAAACAAAAATGTATGAATAAAATATTTTTGAGAGAATTGACGCTAGATTTCCGTGCATCGATCGGAGGGCTGGTTGCCAACGAAACTGGTGGTAATCGAACAATTATCGAAATTGAAAGTTTGACTGTCAGCGCACGACCGAGCACGGTTATAAATATTCGAATAGAGATAAAATACGACGCGTACGTGTTTCGCGATGATCCGTATCGCGATGTCACGGCGCGCTACATTTTAATTTTATAACAGACACGGTTCATTAACTTAAATTCGCGTGTGTCATTTGCTATCTAGATTCGATCGTCAACGCGTATAAAACGGACGTTTCGCGAGTCATCTTTCGCATTTTGCGCGATCGTGGAATTTCCAGCCGTTCGTTTCGTCGTTCTTTCGATGCGGATAAAAAAATATTAAAAGATTTTCGGTAACGCGATGACGTTATACGTTATTACGTTTCTTTTAGTGATCGTTGAGATTCAAACAGGCACTTTGGCGCGATATTAAGTAAATTATATGGCGATTTGTTCCGTGATGGACCGTGCAGTGCATCTCGTAAACGCGTCGCAGGACACTTGTGTTTATGGTACTCGTTGGAATATGCTCGAGAGTATTCGATGCCGATTTCTATCCTCGTTTTCATTTCGCCATCGAGTTACGATATGTTTTCTATCAACGAGCTGTACTGTATCACTGTACCATTAATACATAATGTTCCGCGTTAATGAGAACCGATTGAAACGATACACAACCGAATGTTTCATGATACGCGTATAAAAGCTAGCTTCGACCGATAGCTGCGATCGTTATATGCAACTGGTGAACTTTCGAACGGCAGTATATATTTTTAAAAATGTTTAAAGGACATTTGATTAATAACAGCTTAAGAATAACTTCGCTCGGGGGTATCGTTCCGAAGAAATTCATCGAAGGAGACGATTCGTCCGTCGTTTCGCGTGTCAATTACCCGAAGAAGAACCGGGCACGGAAGCTTTTCCCAAGTTATCGCTTCATTCGCGATCCATTAACGCGTTTCTGCTTTAACTGCGAAGAGCGTTTCAACGTTTCTGACAGTCTTCGAGTCATTTATATGGGATTTTTCGATAGAAGAACCTCCACCTGTCTACTTGATTGAAGAGATACGCCATCTTGAAGAAAATTATCCTCCTCTCGAAGCTACGCGGACGACGATATAACAAACGCAACTCGCGTTCATTTTCATTGCAGGCGTTTCCCGCTGCGGAGATTTATTTATTCAGTGACATTCTAAGATGTATTTTGAAATAGTTTTTTTTGTCGAAAAAATTGACGTAACAACTTTTTACTATTTTTTTCGCATAAGATCGATGAATGTTTAATCGTTCCAATGTTACGAATTTATTTTGATGTTTTCCTAATTGACAACCGTATAGATTTACGGAACGTGGAATGCGCGAAGCAAATTCGTATCGAAATAAAATAAATTTCGAATAAGGTACTTTCGTTTAATGACCATCTGTTTGTTTCTGGAATCGAATTTTCTGCTGTAACGTCGCTTTAGTGTCCAGGAACCATTGTCTCGATGATATCGTTAATCGAATAAAGCAGCGATTCAGCCCGAGGAGTCGAGTATTAATTAGTTTATTTCACGAGCTGTCGGCATGAAAAGCTCTCAGGCACTAACGAGCTGAATCCTCTAATGGAAATCGACGTCGCCGCACGAAAGACGATTCTTTTGTGATTAAATGAAACATCGTCCATCGTTCGAAGACACGCGTCATTTAATTTCGCTTAAAGATTCGCTCCAAGATTGAAAACAATGCAATTCCACTTCGACTTCTCCAATAGAATCTAGAGCCAACTTGAACTAATTCTACTATTTATTTGAGCTATTTTAATTTCTTCGTTGTTCGAGGTATGAGTCTGTTAAAACATGCAACAGTAAAAATATACATTCGATCATCTATAATTAAAATATTTCGACCATCAGGATGTATAGTTTTCTTTAACAAAAACAATTTTTAAACGATGCATCCACAATTTTATAGTCAATTTGCGTTAACACTATTTTTATACGTTGCAAGTGCTGCATTCGTCATTGCCGAAAACCGAAAGTCGTTGTCATGACATTTAAATCTGTGTCGCGACTTCAGTGTCACGAGATCGAGTCACGTTAGATCGTAAGTGACATTTCAAAGCAACGTCTCGAGCTCAGCACGATGAAAACTACATGGTAGCACTGTCGCGAAATGCTTTCAACATTATTGCATCGCTGCACGCTAGGTTCCATACTCTGTATATTTCTGTGAAAACCAGAACGCGAAGTAACGATAAATTAATAAAACTTTCTGGGTCTTCTGCGAGCGGTGCCTCTTATCAACGACGAGTATAATTTTTCCTAGCTTCGATCGAAGCACACGTTCAACTTCTACGCCATGCGTGTCTCATAATATAAAACTCTTTCAAAGCGGCATGAAACGTTCAAGAGACATTTCACCGAATAAGATACGAAACTAAGATCGAAAACTTTGATTTCTCTTAACAAATTACAAATCAGATTTTGCCCCGGGAAAATATTGCAACTCGTTTCACGCTACGTTTCGAGTTTGACGGGGGCACCATTTAAGCGCGATCATCCCCTGAGCCCTAATGGGAGCCATACATAATACCTGGTGAACACTTGAGAGTTTTAGCCTCGAGAGTCGAGAGTATTACGAATAAGAGCTGTTTCGCGCGAGGCAGTGGAAGAGTCTTTATGCTGAAAGTTACCTCGTTACTCTTAAAGTCGGCCCTCGCATGTTCTTGTGAAAGAACCCTTACTGTAAATACTGTATCCATTAGACAATCTTACTCTCGAGAACGAAACTCTCCAGTGGGCGACAAGTATACGACAAGAGCAGGCATTTTAAACACGTGGTACCCTCTGTGTTAGACTTTGCACCATGCTTGGTATTTTTCTTTTTCTTCTTCTTCCCTGTACGAAGTTTCGTAGTACATATTCATGGGAACAACTTTGTTCGATATTGGACGAGAACGAAACGCTTCAAAGATACACTGATCATTGCTTTTTTCAAATTTTGGAGTCAAGGTTAGAAACTTGACAAGCAGAAAACAAATTTTTCTTACAGAAGATCAACTTTGATGACGAATATATTGAATTAATATTTTATATCTGATCTATATTTTTATTTATTATAATTGAAAATGTACTGATATTTGCTCGTAGGTGCTACGAGATTACCTAGTTTATACTGGTCTCAAATGACTCTAATATTCAAAGGAGAAGTCACCCCAGGGTTAAGTAACAATGCTTGTAAATTTCAACGAAACTAAACCATAATTATATTAAACTCGGAACTCCGATCCTTTGTTTATCTTTGTCTGATAACTCCGTATTCTCTCCCGCGTTCCAGTCGTGTCAAATGCATTTAGGCCCGAGGGCCAGTCTGCGTTATGCTACCAAATCGCGGACCACCGTTGTATAATTATCGCACTACGATCAATATCCATTTGCTCAGCAATTAAAAGTAATCCTATAAACTCTCTACATTCATTATCAACTTTCACAGAATAGCATGAAACAAGAAAATGTTTTCAATTTGTCGTTCTCGAAATCTGATTACGTTACAGACTTCGACATCGAATAAAGTTACAATTCTAGTTATAGTTGACTTCACTCGATGCCACGGTTAATCGTTCGTCGAACAACTTCGCTCCTCGAGTACAGTTAACCGTGATAACTCGAAGCTTCAGTAAACCGAGAGTGAGCATTATTCGATGGTTCCTATTTCGATATTTATATTTTTTCTCCCTTCTCTTTCACCTCGTCGTCGTGTTTGAAGCTTCGCTGGCTCCGATCGAGACGTTCAATTTACGAATCCATTCGTTCGAAGAATCGTCGCTGCACGTGACAATCTTCGCGCTACAATTCTCGCGTTTTCTACTTGTTTCGAGCGTCCTTCGAGGGATAGGCTTCGAGAGCAGAGCCGGCGATTACCATCCGCGGATCCTGTAAGCTCCCGAAAGCAGAAAGTCCCCCGAAGAGGAGGGAAGTTAGTTATACGAGGCTAATGGAAGCCGGCAGCGGCACAGCTAAACAATATGGGTAGCGACACGCTAACAAAGTTGCCCGGGCCAAGAAACGTAATTAAGGCTGCAGAAGTTAAGTTAATTTGGAAATACCGAGTTACGCTTACCACGTGACGCGAACGACGCAGGCGGGTTCTCCTATAATCAATTCGATATCACTGTGGGTGATATTGTCGGCGTAAAGTGTTTCGTGGATCGCGTACAGGGTGTACGGAAAAGTTGTTGACAAACTTTAGCGCCACATGGTCTGATTATCATAACTTGGAAACTTTTTTTTCAAGTCCCCCCCTTCAGTCGACATCGTTTGTCTTTTACTCGATGTCGTTCGCTTGTTTC